AAAGGCAGGGAGTGACAGCAAGCAACGTCTCTCCCTTCCTTACATTGTACGCAAACTACCTGCCCCAGGACAGATGGAGCACTCACACCCATAATCCCAACACTGGACCATGAATCCATCAAACTCTACAAGTCTACCCTATGACTGCATGAGCTTTTGCTGGGGCATCCAGATACAAACCATAACAATTATATTATTATATTATGTTTAAATAAAACAAGAATAAATCCTTGATAAAATAACAAAGAATTGGAAAGAAAAATTTCATCTTTACTACTCCAAAGGATTTTAAAGGTTATTTTACATACCATTTTAAGTAGACATTAATATATTATGTTGTTTTATGATCAGCAGATACTATTGGAACAAAAATGAAAATAGAAAGTAAAACGTGTAAACCATATTTTGCTCATACATTTGGTAATTAAGAAGTACAATTCTTTAAAAGCGCGTTAGAGGAAATAGATAGCCTGAGTACTCCTTTATCTACTTACATTGCATTGTTTTATGAAAGCCATTCATCTGAATGAAAATTCTAATAAATTTTCATTTGTAAAGCAATTCTCACCTAATCCTCACACTGGAATTGTGGACAGGTAAGGGTTTAACTCTGTTTAACCACATGTCAGAGGATAAGAGTTATGAAGTAGCAGGTGAAAGTCAGAAGCACCTGAGTCCTAGAGTTGCCTTGCCCAATGTATTCACCTCAAAATTATAATTATAGCAACAGAAATAAGTATAACGCACAAGTAAACTTCAGGTTATGTCCATGAATAATTTTCTACATTGAGTCAGTCTTTTTCATTCATGTTGTTCCACTAGGAAAATTTGCCTTCTTCTTTTTTCCTTTTTTTTTTGTCTTTTTAAGACAGGGTCTCAGTCTGCAGTTTAGGCTGGCCTTGAGCTCACTTTGTAGGCCAGGCTGACCTCCAACTCACAAAGATTCCACTGCCTCAGCTTCCTGTGTGCCACCATGCCTGGCCTAAAATTTTTAAGGATTTTTTTTTTTTTTTGGTGTTGGGAATTGGAATTGAACTCAGGCCCTCACGCTTGTCAGGCAGGCACTGTGCCACTGAGCTATCACCCTAATCCTAAACTTGCCTTCTAACACGATTTCCTCTCCCTTCATCAGCGACATATAAGTCATTCTGCACTTTACTGAGTTGATTTTTTGAAAATAAGTTTAAACCTCTCTATTTCAAAACAATTTAACCAGTAAAACCAAATTCCTATCTCCTATTATATAGTCCACAAAACATTTCACAACAATGTACACTTTTCAATGACTTCTATTATATTGTTTTTATTTAATAAGGAATTTGACCTGATTTTAGCAGCACACTATTAGAAATCATGTCACGGGATAGAATGCTGATCAGTTCTGAGGCTCTAAGTTCATGAGTGTGGTCTGTAACCCACGGAGCAGTTGTAAACAAGTTATTTAACTTTTCTGTGCTCCATCCAGCATCATCGCCTATAATGCTCATCCCCCAAATACATGTATTGCCACCCTGCTCTAAGTGCTGGGAAAATAGCCGAGGCATGCAACTCTACAGGATCACATGGAAAAATAGACACAGAACTGAAAGCAAGAGCAAAGTCTGTAGACTTACAAGTGACTGCCTGGCAAGCGCAAGGTCCTGAGTTCAATTCCAAGTACTAAAAAAAATTTTTAAAGTTTATAGAGTGAAAGATAGGAAAAAAGTGCTCTGTAACAAAAGCACAGAGAGGGATGTGGACAGATACCATTATCAATAGGGAGTTGAGGAACAGAACGGTTTTTTAAGTGCAGATATTTGACAGAAGAACGTTTGAAGACAGACAACGGAAAATACCCTAGATAACATGGGGATCCACATTTCTAGGGGAGAGTTAGGAGATCACTTACTGGAGACTAAGAGAGTGAGACAGGTGTCTGGCAGGAGTTAAAGGTGTAAGGAGAAGGAACAGTGTGATTTCTTAGCAGTGGACTCTTATAAAGGGCTTCACTTGCACCTCTTATGTGATGAAGTCCTATAGGGTTTGTGAGAAATGATACCATCTACCATATAGCAATGTCACTGTTCGGTGACAGAGACGAAACTACTCTTACACACTGTGTTTTATTCTTATTCCCCATACAGTCTTTTTCAATGTGTTTCATAATTGACTAAGTAAAGCTGGAAGAAGCTAATGTACTGCTGCAGTGGTTTTAAAACTGAACTGATTGTTCCTCAAGCCAGGACAGTAACCAAGAAATTGCTGAAGTAGAATCTGTATATGCCCTATGTTAGGAAACTATTCTTAGGCTGGGTTTGGTGGCACACACCTATAATCCCAGCACTCAGGAGGCTGAGGCAGGAGGATAAATGCAAGTTTGAGGTCAGGCTCAGCTACATAGTGAGTTCAAGACCAGCCTGAACTGCATACTGAGACCTTTTCTCAGAAAAAAATCAAGTTATTATGATGAAAGAGAAGAAATCATTAGGTATAAAGCAAATTCTAGAAAATAGTATTGAGCACTTTTACTTGAACAAGAAAGGATGCTTTTCTACTACATGACACTAAATTTACATGTTAGTTCTTACACAAGAATTATTCTGTATGGATAAAATATGTGAATTGTATATCTTAAGCCCATAAAATTATTGTCTGAAATACGGTAAGTGTTGAACAAAATATAATATTACTATTACCTCTCTGTTAATTATTAGCAGTATGAACAGCTGTTCATATTTTGCTGGGCTATTATGTTCTTTTAAAATTATATCTATAACATTGTGACTGGGCATCATGCAATAGATAATAAATTATTTTGGAAAAATAACTTCCATTACAGGAGCTATGCAGTGATGTACTAAGAAACTAACTGGCCACTTGTACATAGTTTAAATTTTTTGTTTGTGATTGTTGTTAGATTATATTATGTGTATTTAATAGCATAATATAATCAGTTTGTAGTCTATATTTTACAGTTAGTCTCTATTTAATTGAAATTTGGGAATTTCTTCAACATAAATATTATCAACAAAGTGATAGTATGTACCAGTTGAATGATTTGCTAACAAAAAGAACATAATTTGTCTAAATTTGGGAAATGTATACAAATTATAATAATACAAAGCCATATTTAATAGGAAATAACTGGAAAGTGGAAGACCTTAAACATTTACTAAGACATATTTGTGATGAGGGCTGAGCCCAAACAACATATTGACATAAATACTTATTAAATTTTTCATTATAATTGCAGGGAAAAAAAATCCAAAAAATACCTATAAATAGTTGCTAAAATACATAGATATCAAAGAAAGAATAAATAATAATTTGATGTATTATTGATTTAAGAGAAGGTATAATTTTGTGATAGATCCTGAAATTTGTATAATATAATACATATTTACAAGACTTAAATAGACTACTTGTTTTGAATTGGCAATATATCCATGAGTTCCTGAGCTTTCAAATAGAGATGTTACACTTCACCTTAGACACCAATATAAATAAATATAATTTCACAAAAAGTAAAAAATTTCAAAAAGGTATTAATTTATTCAGCTATATGGTGAGATTAAAATAATCCATGTAATAGAAGCTTAAATATTTAAAAAATTTCCCTACAAAATGAAACTATACAACATAAAATAACCTTACTTATAAAAGAGAAATTTAAAGCTGTAGTTGTAGATAAAGTATTAAAAAATAAGATTTTATTTCTCTGTTGACCTAAGTTGATGCAGTGCTACATACGTAAAATCCAGTCTCAATCTTTCTTTTCGCAAATTATCACCATTAAAATGTAGTACAGAGGATGCTTACAGTGATTTCAGCAATTTATTTTTAAATAACATAACACATTTGAAGTCTTTTGGGGAAAGGCAAAGAGACAGGGGTGGAATGTTCCTTGTGTATCACAGAAAGTTATGGTTGTAGCATGGTTAACAGACAAGCACCGAGCACACATTACTGCATGTCGATTTACCTTGGGAAATTCCCAGTATTTCAGTATTTCAAAGCAATGTGGAGTAACAGTCTGGAATTTGAGCATATCCTGGAAATATGTTCATCTCTCGTTTCAATCACAAAGAGATTATTAGAGATGAAACTTTAAAGTGAATACAGAAAGCATCAGAAATCACACAGGGAAGACAAGCGATTGAATATTATATACTGACAGCCAGTTCTCTTGAGGGGGAGGCACAGCACTCAATGATTGCTGTAGTGTCTCTCTTTGGCTTAAAAATTTTCACGACTTTAACAACATTAACATGTACCACTTTTACTTTAATGCTATTTCAAAATTGTATTTTAGTCTGAGTACAAAATTAGGAACTAATGTCTTCAGCTTTTTCCTCTATTTGTGAGTTGGTTAATAAAATGAACTACAATAAGCTTGTAAGATATGAATGAGTATTCTTCAAAAAAGTTATTACACATAAAGTAGACTAGGAATCCCATCTTCTGATGATATGTCCAGGTTTCCTGTTATTTCCACAAAATACTTATACCTATTTTCTGATCAGAGAGTTGTGGGATTATTATATATCTTGCACAGTGGATGAACTGAACCATAAAATTTCAGAAAATGAATGAGGGTGACACACTACAAAGATGGCAGACCTACGATCTGAAGGCAAGCATGTTTGATTTCACAGCAGTTGCTCCAACCTGAGCTGCCCTTACACGCTATATTATAATAATGAGTCATGGAAAAAACAGAGCTCTTTGTCATTATAAATTCTCTAAACATAGATCCTGGATGGATAGTATATCATACTGAAAATTAATTTTAAAAATTTAAAAAATGACTGGTAAATTTTCTTATTTATACAATGAGTGGCCCATAACATCACATGAATATACATGTGAAATTTAACACAGATTTCGCTATTTACAATTAAACTATGAATTTCTAAAATAATGGTGATTGAAGTCTGCAAGCACGTGTTAAGTAATAAGTAAAAGTTTAAACACAAAAATGCAAATAAAGAGAAGAGTAGGTATTTAGAATCACTGCTGTCTTAACTGTCTGGAGCCTTTCTCTTCTGCAGGACTCTAAGGACAGCATGTTTCACCTCTTTGTTTCTGAGGCTGTAGATGAGAGGGTTCAGCATGGGGATCACGATCGTGTAAAACACAGAGGCCACCTGATCCTTTCCCAAGGAGTAGGACTTCTTTGGCTTTAAGTAAGTAAAGGTTAGAGTGCCATAAAAGATGGTGACTCCCAGGAGGTGAGAGGCACAGGTCGAGAAGGCTCTTCGCTTTCCTGCAGTAGAATTAATTTTCAAGATAGTGGAGAGGATGGACACATAGGATCCAGATATGATGATGAGGGACAGAACTAGGGTGGAACCAGCAAAAATGAATATCATGATTTCAACAGTATATGTGTCACTGCAAGACAGGGCTAACACTGGGGGTGTGTCACAGAAAAAGTGATGGATGATATTGGAATTACAGAAATGCAGACTTCTCTTGTAAACTGCATTAGCAATGGAGTCCATAAAGCCAAACATATAAGATCCAATTACCAGGGAATGGCACAGTCTTGGGGACACAATGACCGGATAGTGCAGAGGGCTGCAGATGGCTACATAGCGGTCAATGGCCATGGAGGAGAGAAGGAAGCATTCAGTGCCTCCCAAGAGGACAAGAAAGAACATCTGGGTGAAGCAACCTAGGAATGAAATGTGCTCCATGGAAGCCAGTAAGTTCTGTAAGGTTCTAGGGGTGATGACGCTGGAGTAGCTGAGGTCGAGAAAGGACAGGTGGGTGAGGAAAAAGTACATGGGGGTGTGCAGCTGGGCATCCAGGCGAATGAGCAGCATCATGCCTGCGTTCCCCAGCACCGTGACCAGGTAGATGAGGAGGAAGAGCAGGAAGAGGAGCAGCTGCGCCTCTGCAGAGTCCGCCAGCCCCAGGAGGATGAAGTCAGGCACACCAGTGGAGTTCCTTGTACCTATGGTGTCTGCTGCAATTATCTGTTGAATAATCAGTTTTAAAAATTACCTGCATGTCTGCAAAATGGTTTTATTTGTATGTATGGCCCAGAACTTATCACAATTACTGTAGTGTTTCAGTAGTTAAATAAAATCTATACTAAATCATAGCAAAATATTTAATTAGAATGTATCCATGAGTAAAGTTGATTTTCACTTAAAAGGTGTCCGTCTGTTTTTCATCATGAACCTTGTGATACTCTACCCCTTTCCTCTATTAACAAATTGAAATCACATGAATGTATTATTCTGTATCATTGAAAATATTTTAATGCAGAAAATAAGCATGAAGAATTACTTTTGTGAAATCAGAGCAATTACGTGTTGACACTGGTTTTACCCAGACATGTTGACTCCAGGGATCATGGTTAAAGTACTGTGGTTTTCTCATAACTTGTAGAAAATCTGAGTAAGGTTATATAATCAATATTCTAAAATTCAGTTTTTGTGTATTGTTTACGGTCATTTAGTTCCCAATGCTTTTTTATAGAATTATAATAATTTTACAAAGGGGGCATATATGTAGCACATTGAGATGATAGAACTCAAGTAATATTAAATTTCTGAAGACATGGTAATAGAGGGGAGAAAAAAGAATCTTTAAAACTTTGGATTTTTAAAAACAGTTTGCTTCTTCAACTTCTTCTGCCTGAAAGCAGAAATATCCACCCTCCTGTCTTGCATTCAAAGATTGCATAGAGAAGTCTTGTTCTGTCTGAAAATTACCATGTTCCTCTGAAAAACGCGAGGCAGAGCTGCCCGCATGAGGTCCAGATCTGGCTTAATTTAGACAAGACCTAAAGGTGCTTGGAGTCACCTGGACCTAAAAGCCCTGGCAGCACTGAGAATAGTGTGGTAGATATTTCAGGCACAGAGACTCCTCTGTCTCTTTTTGTAGTACTTATGAATAAATCCTTTGCTCTTCACCAGAAGAAATTTACTACAGCTTTGTTGCGGGTAATGAGGGGGCAGTGCGGAGTTTCAACTCCACTATCAATGTATTTCCTTAACTTAAGCATTTAAAGTAAAGCTCTTTAAAAATTCTATTTTCAGAATATAATAATTTTATCCTTTGCATACTTTGATTCTATCAACTCTATATTCTTATTTTGCAAACTTTAACATTACTCATGCAAATGATATGTTTATGCAAACTTTTTTTGGACAATATACCCATTTCCTTTTCTCTAATGTAATGCCCTCCAAGTTGAAGAATGATGCTTACTGTGAGTCTCAGTTCTTCCAATAATATTTGTTTAGAAATTGTTCAACCTCAAATTATTCTCAGAAAGTATGATAACCACAAAAGCAGTGGAAAATTTCTGTGATCCACATATTTTTCTTGTTGTAACGTGTATTTCTTTTTTGTGCTTTCATCTTTTATTCTGAGGAAAAATATAGCACCATAGAAATTTTGTTCAAATCTTAATCAAGTGCAGACTTGATCAGTCACAAGGAGGGGTCCTCTGAAAAGAATCCAAGGGCAGAACTGTGAATGGAAACAGACCAGTGTATGCCATTCCTCCTAGTCTGGTAGTTCCAGGGAGCCTCATATAATGCACACTAAGAATACTGCAGCATTTGGACATCCTTGGGGAGCAATTTACAGAGATGATTTCTTGGTCTGATTCCAATGTCAAAAGTTCAAATATTTAATGAACAGAAACATTTGTCTTTTCCCTTTGAAACCCCACCTTTTAGAACATAAACTCTTCAGTCTCTCTCGATACTCTAAATTTTTAGTGAAATTCATTTATTTACTTCTTGAAGTGACATAGATTGAGATAAACTTGCAGATAATAATGTTTACATTCAAGTGATCAGCTAGGAGTTTTCTGCTAGGAAGGTAGAGAGGAAACACCAAGGAGATACTTAGTTTATGACTGTGCCCTGTGAAGGAAGGAAGCACCACATTTTCACCAGGAAATATTTTATATTTAAAAGCATGACTTGGTCATAGGATAATGCATATTTACTAGCACACACACACACAATAGAAATCAACATATTTCAAACAAGGAAAACAAACATTGCAGACCTGTTAACAATGTGTTTATATAACAGTAATTTCAGTATATGTGCTGCCAAAGAAAGCACAACATAATAGTCATTTCTCCCATGCATTGTTTTTTTTTTTTTTTTTTTTTTTGGTTTTTCTCCGGTACCGGGAACAGAACTCACGACCTTGCGCTTGCCAGGCAGGCGCTTTGCCGCTGAGCTAAATCCCCAGCCCCTCTCCCATGCATTGTTCCTTGGTGTCCCCCAAAATTACTTGGATGTGTACTTACAGATTGGCATAATTATTATAATCCTGCTTACGCAATCTATTCTCCCTCATGTCATGTGTGAAGTATAACCTACCACGTCCTGCTTTATATCCACTTATTATTATCCACACCCTCATGCAGTATGCGTGCGATTATACCTTAGTCTTAACTGTGTGAACTGAACATTCACACCTGACGCATGGACATCTAAGGGCTCAGAGGATGGGGCAGAATCTCTATTCTGGTATCTAAGTGCGATTTGCCGCACCTACAGACCATATTCGTGCAAAGCATTTTACTCTTCTTGGTTTTGACTTTGCTTTATAAAGGAAAAACTAGCAGAAGTCTACCATCAAAAAAAAAAAAAGAAAAAGAAAGAAATTTATCTTCAGCCCTAAGACTACATAAGTGTTTGTGGAGGACACCAGGACAGCTCTCCTTGAAAGAAGAGCAATTGTCTCCATTTTGGCTAAACCTGGCTCTATTCATGCACTGATGTGTGCATAGCTGGCTTAAGATTTTTCTTTATCCTCTGAATTGGCTTTAAGCAATGCAAATGGGTTTGGCTGAGGTGTTAATGGGTAGTCTTTAAAAACAGGTCAGTGATGCTCCACCTACAGGTCCCAGATAGTATGTGAGAGACATGCCAAGTGATGCCACAGTATCTGTCTGCTAGGACTGAGCTTGAAGAAAGAAGCTGTGATTTCTCAGTGATACAGGAAAATAAAAATTCCCAACCTGAACGATATCTGGGACTAGCTCGCGTTCTCTAAAACTGAAGAATGAATTTCAGGAACAACAGAAGTTAAGAGCAGAATGTGCCTACTGAGTGAAAGAAAGCTTCTGTCCAAGAGAGGGACAGAAGGGGGCCCGAGTGGGTGGCCAAGGACCTTACCCTTCCCAGGGACTTTATGGAGCAAAACCCCAAGGTGAGGCAGGTCCAAGATGGGGGAAAACTGGGAAATTACAAGGTAGCATGAGGTGGGACAAAACTATGGTCAGCCAGTAAGATCACAAGTATAACTGCTCAGGGAAAAGTGAGTAAACTGGGATCAAATGGGGAAGTGAGTCACGTAGCAAGCTGGCATAAATACAGAACAGGGGCTTTTCCTGTAGGGGGTTGGGCTAGTGACTCTTTCTGGCTTTTTGAAGGTGGTTGCTACTTATTTAGAATATCAACCCCTGATGTTCACACCTAGGGAGGTAGGTGGGTGCATTTGTTTAGTCCTTTTGTCTTGAGGTCTGGCCCACTGGTTTCTTGTCTTTCATGTTGGCTCCTTCAAGGGCCTGGCCCTGTTTGACTGCCTATAATAGTTCTGTTTAACTCAGCTGCCTGTAACATGAGGGCATGATGATTACACCTCAAACCCGAAGCACCAACCCCCAAACACTAGGTATTGCCCCAGTCTATGATATACAGGTAACACTTTCTGCATCTCTCTCTGTCTCTGCATGTTGCAGAGGTGATTTCAGGCCTCCTACCTAGCCCAGCTCACAGCACTCATGTACTTCCTGCCTTTCTCACAGTCACTCATCCTCGAGCCACTCCCCTCTTGACAAATTAAAAAATCCTGGTTTGGCCCTGGGTGGAGGCCTTTGTTCACGATGGCCATCTTTCTAGCTGGACTCAGGACCCCTTGGCTCCACAACTGCAAATATGCCTTAGTGTCTATATTCTTGCCGTGGGCTTCAGTGGAGGTGGCAGACTGGAGTTAACTCCCTTGAATTCCAGTAACTTTCCATAAACTCCACTGGACTCATAAAATCCACTGGTTTCCTATGAATGTTGTAATAAATCCAGTGGGGAAAGACTTGCTTTGTTATATCTGATCAAATCAGATATTTTATTAGAAGGAACAAGAAGAAATTGTAATAGGAAAACTAAAATATTTAATTGAGGGTTAATTGTTCAAGATGAGGGAGCTAAGGGAGAATTTGAGAAAATACAGAGAGAATCTGAGGAAAAAATGTTATTGTGAACCTTGCATGAAGGCACAAACAAATTAGTTGTCATGTAGATATAAAAGTGAACCTCTTAGGAAAATGTGCTCGTGTCTGAAGATTTCCAGAGTTAGTTCACTGTGGAGGACAAAGACTTCATTCTGTTAAGTGATAGTGATATATGGGAAAGAACTTCCAACCTGAAAGACATCTGGGATGAGTTTGTGTTCTCTAAAATCAAAGAATGAATTTTAGGATCAACGGAGAATGAATTTTAGGATCAAGCAGAATATATTTACTGAGGGAAAGAAAGCTTCTGAGAGAGGGACCAAAGGGGCCCGAGTGGGTTGCCCAGGAACCTGTCTTTTCTAGGGACTTTTATAGAGCAAGTCCACAAGGTGAGGTAGGTCCAAGGTGGAAAACATGGGAACTCTGCTAGGTGGGCATGAGGTGGGACAAAACTACGGTCAGCCAATAAGATTACAAGCATAATTGTTCAGGTAAAATTGATGAAATTCGGATCAAATGGGGAAGCGCAAGTGGACATGAATACAGAACAGGGGTTTTGCCTGTAGGGTGTTGGGTTAGTGACTCTTCCTGGCTTTATCAAGGTGATTGGAACCTATTTAGAATATCAGTCCTGGAGGTCCATCCCTAGGGAAGTAAGTATGTGGGGGCATCTGTTTAATCTTTTATCCACAACTGGAGGTGTCTGTCTCCCTCACAGTTGCAAGGTATCTCATCTTCTGTACTGGTTCCTTTGAAGGCCTGGCCCTGTCTGACAAGAAGGTATCTCATGGCCTGGTCTGGCCCTGTCTGACTGCCTATAATATTTCTAATATTTCTATCTAACTTAGCTGCCTATAACAATATGTTTCTCACAGACTCATGGAAAGGAAATGTTATTCATCAATATTTTAGTTCATATGAATTGGAGGAAAATTGTACTAACACTTCTGGTTTTATTCCACACATAAAAATATACAGTGAAAAAATTTTTAAAAATATACAATGAAAAAATTTTTAAAAATATACAATGAAAAATATACTAATGGAAAAAAATTACAAAGAAGTGAAAAAGTTGATCTATACTATATAAAGAGTGTTATTTTAAAGATTATTTTATATAATATTAGAAAAAGATTAATACATTATGGAACTTTATAATCAAAGTGAACTACTATAAATATGAGAAATAAATATTATAATATTATTATAATTATAAATATTACAATACTAGAAAAAATATTATAATATCAAAAAGTAAATAAAGATATCACTATTGTCCAAATATAAAATGACTAATGTGTAATATAAATAATATTTTGCTAATGAATTTGAATATTAAAAAGTATAATTATTTAAAAGTACATTAGAAGAGAAAGGTAATCTGAGTAGTACTATATCTAATTAATAAATGCAACTGTTTTATGAAAACATTCACTTGGAAAAGACCTTGCAATAGATTTTTCTTTTTAAAAATTTCTGACCCATCACTCACCTGGAATTATGGATAAGGTAATAGGTTACCTCTGTCCAACCATGTGGAAGAGGTTA